GCTTGTGCAATGTCCATGCATGCATAGGAGCGAACAATTCTGCCTGCGCTAGCCTCATTCATCTTTGTATTAATATTTCCAACAGCGAGCTTATTACTTTGTATACCAGTGCACAAGTTCATCCTACCATAGCATCCCCTCCTTCACCCCGGGGCCCCTTCCCTTTTCTTCCAGCTCGCCCCCTCCCTGCGGTCCCTTGATTCAATGCCGCCGGGGGCAACCGTAACGGCACAAAACCCGTCGATAGTACAAGTGTCGATACCAGCAACTATCACGCCACCCGTCCATACACACATCGTGCATCCATATCACCTTTCGAGTTCGTTCCTGAGTACAGCGCTAGCGGAGGAAGCCGGGGAGGACAGATAGGATTACCACCGCCATTGGGGCCTTCGCAGCAGGCTCCGAGTCCGGCGGGCACAAAGCGCGCAAAACATAAACGTCGGGATCGACAGGGTCTCAACCCCGCCAATACTAACGTAGCGTCCTCCGGGGAACTCAAGTTTGAGTCCAAGCTTGAGCTGGCATCGCGTCCGCGCCGCCGAGCGCTACGGCGCACCCGATTATGAACATCCATCCAATGCAGCACCTCTGCCCCCTCACGCTTCCGCCCCACGGGCACCAAATCCAGCCCTCGCATAACCCGTACGCACAAGCGCCGCACGCCCCCCAGCCCTACGCCCACCTGCAGCCCTCGAGCGGTGGCGGCCCCCCTCTCGACCCCGCCTCCATCGCCGCCGCCTACTACTCCCACCCGCAGACCAGCCCCAGCACCGCGGCTCCCACGCCTCTCTCCGCGACGGCTCCCGTCCCCCCATACCAATACCCCCCGCCGCCCTCCGCCAATTCCGCCGCTGGCCCTGCTGACTACCCGTCCCAAACCGCCCCTTACCCCCCCTTCAAACGCAAAGCCATCCGCGCCGCGCAAGCATGCGACGCCTGCCGCGCCCGGAAAGCAAAGTGCGACGAGGGTCGGCCTGCGTGCGGCTTCTGCAAGGAGACGGCAATTACGTGCGTATACCGAGAAGTACCGCCACCTAAACAGGACAGGACGTTGTTGGAAATTCTGGCGCGGCTGGGGAGAATCGAGGGGTTGCTTGGTGGGCAACAGCAGGCGCCTGGGGCTGCGGACGGGAACGCTGCGGTGCCAGCGCCCACTGTGGAGGCGCCGATGGTCAGTCCGGCGCCTGTACCGGTGCCTGTGTCGGTGCCGGCTCCCCCGAACCCTGGCGAGAAGCCGCTGGCAGAAGACGAGGAGCTCACCATTCCATACCAGCACACGACCGCCGCACACAAGCTACTGTGGTGGGAAAGCATCAGGGAGTTGGTTGGGGAGGAGTACGCGAGGGGGGAGGGATACGTGATGCAGGCTGAGGAGACTCGCGGGGGGTTACGGATCTGGGGACGGGGGAGGGGGCAGGGAGGCGAGGGGGAGTAGGACCAGGCATAGGGGCTGAGGCGAATGCAGGGGCAGGCTCAGGGGGGTGGTTTGAGGAGGGAGAGGATCTTGAGATGGATTATGTAGCTGGCATTGATGGGCCTGGGGTAGGCGCAGGAGCGATGTGGAACGTCCCATGGAGCGACGGGGAGGTGTTTGGGGAGGATGATGAACAGGAGGGGGGCGATGAGGTTGGAACACAGGGCAACAACAGGGCGGGTGGCGAACGGGCGTCGATGGGTCAAGGTGGATTGCTCCCCGATGGAACGCTGCGGCTTGATCCGGAGACGGTCTTGGGTTACTTGGACAGCTATCTGAGTAATATACATATCTTGCATCCGATACTGGATAAGGGCACGATATCGCGGGTTGTGAGGGAATTTTTGGGGAGGGTGCATGTGCATGCGGGGACCGGGGGAGGCGGCGGCGGGGGAGTTCAGGGTCGCGCTACTGTTGGAGGGGACGGTGCATCTGTACAGGGTGGAGGAGCATCGCAGGCTTCAATACCGACGTCGTATGTGCCGGAGGGGCCGCCAGGACCAGGGGGAATGCAGAGGAAGCCGCCGCTGCCGGTGACCGGGAAGCGGAAGCGGTCGGCGTCGATGTCGATGGGCGGCGGCGCGGTGAACGTGAACGGGGCCGCGGCGGGCGCGGCGGGGACACAACAGGGCAGACCCGGCATGCATTCGCGGAGCTCGTCGACGTCCGGCAGGTCTCCGCCGACGATTTCTGCTCCGCACCACGGGATGCCCCCGCTTGTAGGGCAGCATCACCAGCGGCAGCGGCAGCAGCAGCAAGCGCCGTTGCCCACTCCCGGCGCCCCCCCTCCGCAGCGCATCCCACGCACAATCCACTCCGCCATCGTCCTGCTCGTCGTAGCTCTCGGCTGCATCTGTCTGCACCGCGCGCCCGTCCCGGGTCCCTTGCCTCCGATATTCAACATTTCCACCGCATCAGCCTCGACCTCCTCCCCCACATCCGCCTTCACCCCGCCCAGTCCCGCTTACCACCGCCATCCGTCCATAAACCCCTACGCTGCGACTCCACCGCCCCCCAACCCAACTACTATCTCCCCACCCCCGCCGCTTCCCCGAAACATCCTTCCCCGCAATATCGACGTCACTCCCGGCCTAGCATACTTTGCCAAAGCTATGGAGATCCTCGGGATCCTCTTTGGCGGCAACGATGTCGCGCATGTGCAGGCGGGCTTGCTCGCGGGGCTCTACTGGGGCCAACTCGGGCGGGTGCTGGATAGTTGGAAGTGGATCAGCTGGGCATGCATGGGCTGTCAGGTGTTGGTACGCATGAAACTGCAGCAGCAGGCTGAGAATGCCAAGTTGGACAAAGTGGAGCGGGATTTGATTTTGAGGCTGTTTTGGAGTTGTTTACAATTAGAGAGGTGGGTATTTCGGCCGTTACATCCTACATTGATATTGCCTTTACGTTATTTTTATTTCGATTTGTACATTCTTCCCCAATCATGATGAGGTTCTGGAGTTGCAAAAAGGGAAAAAGCCCTGACGATCCTGCTACTAATGGATTGTTAGTGACGTCCTCGCCGAGCTTGACCTCCCCCCCAGCGGCATCTCCCGCCTCGAGGACTCCATGCTCCTCCCGAGCGGCCACGCGACCGACGCCTCGGACGTCGACGTCCGGGAGGACGATCCGCTCATGTGGATGTACTATCTTGCGCAGATTGCGCTCCGCAAGCTGTTGAACCGCGCGCACACCGCGCTATACAAGCAGCGTATGTTTCACTCCCTTCCCCCTCCTTCGCCTCCTCCCCCTTCTCCCGCATGAGTACTGCGATCTATACAATGTACTCCTCTCTTCCTACCTACATCTAGTTACATACTCTACACTAGTCAAGGCTAACCCCTAGATTAATTCCACACCCTAGACATCAATCGCACCGCCGCTGACACCTCCCGCTCGCTTGCAATCGCCCGCGAACTCGACTTCCAGCTCGAGCAGTGGAAGCTCGCACTCCCCGTGCCGCTCCGCTGGGGCGAAGGCGACCCGCCGTCATCGGATATCAACGCGGCGAGGCTCAGGGCAAAGTACTTTGGCGCGCGGTACATTATCCATCGGCCGTTTGTGTACCATGCGGTGCATGGGTGGCTGTCGCAGGCGGGGACGTCGCCGGTGCCCCGGAATGCGGAGGGAGGTGCTGGTGCTGGGAGTCCGGGATCGGTGGTGGGGACGCCAAAGAGGGAATTAGGCGGAGAAGCAGGGCGAATTAGGAGTGTGACGCCACCTGGGAAGGGGGGCGCGGGTGTGGGTGTGAGTGGGACAGGCGCTGGCGGTGGTGCTGGAGCAGGGGTCCCCGGTGGTGGTAGTGGTGGTAGTGGTGGTAGTGGTGACGCTCTGATGGAGGCTAGCTGCAGAAAGTGTCTGGATTCCGCAGTACAAAGTACCATTGCCTTCCACGCGTTTTCCGCAAGTCAGAACCGTCCCATTATTACAAATGTCTTTGGGACGGCGCACGCGTAAGTTCTCCTCCCTCCGCCCTCCCCTCCTCTCACACACATTCCTCCTTCGCTCCACCAATTTCAGGATTGCATTGGACGCTAACTTTACGTTACTTTCTTTGGGCCTTTGGACATATATAGGCAATTTGGCAACCTACTCGTCCTCTCCGCCGCCTATCGTTCGCCCACACTAAAACACATGGTCCAGCCTCACGTGCTCAGGGAGCTGTTTTCAAAAAACGATGTTTTTCCTCGGGACGCTGGCACCCATTAGCGCGGGGTTGCGGCGGGACTTGGAGATTCTGAGGCATGTGGCGGGGGTCTTAGGGGGAGAAGTCGGGGTAGTGGGGCAGGGGAAAGAGTGGTAATCAGTTATTATTCGTTCGGTTGAAGGTGGGTTGAAGACTGGATCGGATTTGTTTTTGGTCTGTTTGCATGTGTGTGGAGCGGCTTGAGGGGTTGTGGGGGCGGGGGACTGGATGAGTATAACGATTGAAGAGAAAGGAATTAAGATGGGAGGAATAAATGGATTTTTTATATCGAGAATCAAGGGTTAATGGATATCGACTGGATTTTGGGCGCGGGGTACAGTATACATTTACCGATGTATAAAGGCTCTGTGGGCTGTGATTGAAGTATGTACTTATTTGTGCTTTCAGATATTTTTCGTCCTTTTTCGTTTTGTCGGTTAGAATACCACTGGGGTTTTGTGGGGATTGTTTGGGTTTTTTCTTTTTCTTTCTTACATTTTCGTTTTCAATTTTCTTGTTTTCCTATTTTGTCATTTTTTCAAAGAGATTTCATTTGTTATCGCTAATTTAGGGTTCAGTTTTTTTTTTTCCGGGGTATTGGTCAAGTCTTCTTCTGCTACGTCTAATCCTTTCTTCTGCACTTTCTGCGACTGTCTTTACGTCTTGCTGTTCTTTTTTTCAACTTGTGTATTCATCATCATTATCTTCACGGAAGAGTTACCTAAAATTAGATACTATATATGGCAATGCACTCTAGCACCGAAGCTTTTCGAAAGCATATGATATGTTGTAGATTCAAACTGAAACAAATCAAAAAAAAAAAGATAGAGAGTTAATTAGCACCCGTCACGAGGATCGAACTCGCAACCTTCGCCTTGCGTTTCCTTCGCGGGCTTCGCCCGTCAGTGGGTTGAACCTTGTACTGTAGGAGGGCGACGCGCTACCATTGCGCCAAACGGGCAGTATTTGCTAGACAACCCTGCTAGTGCAAACAACGACCCACAGTCATGGTTCGTGGTGGCTGTCGTTTATAGGCTGCCTCTCTCTACAGCGACCAATTGAGGGACAACATGAGGATATCCTCGGAACTGGTCTAGTCTCATCTGGTCCCATTGAGGGTCGTGATCATTCACTAAAAAAATATACGATGCCAGCGCCATGGGATATATGGATTGCGAATTCCAGTTCCGAGTTATCAGAGCATGACACCCTCCTACCACACAGCGCGTGGCGCAATTCAACTCACATGGACATTTTATGTAGCTGACCCTGAATAAATACTTTCCGGAGGCAATACGATGACGTTTTTTATTTTTAGCCAGCATACGAGAACAGGTTCATATAAAATGTGCTTGCGGAGCGGGGTTAGAAGTAAATGGAGCCTGTCCTCCATCCCGAACTTGAGAGCCGAATTATTCGGTCGACTGCACTGTTGCAAGTTCTTGTTGAAGCAGAGTTTGATTCCGGAGAATACGCAAAAGATTGTTTCTATTCTTGTTGATGTATGGTAAGCTTTAATCTTAGGGGAAAAACCAGCAAAGAAAATGGGTCAAAAAATATATAGAAAGAATAAAAATGTAGAAGGAGAACAAAATAGGGAAAGAAAATAATTACTTGTATATATCTGGATCAAAACTAGTATATACAATCATAATAAACTAAGAATTAGTAAATAAAACTGTAGCTACATCATTTCTTTTCTCCTTTCGCACCGCAATTTTCTCCTCCAGCATTTGCACCAACTTCTCGTTCCCCAGCTTCCGCTTACTCTCTAATGGTGTGATCCTTGCGTCGGACAGATGCTGACAATCAGCACCCATAGCCAATACTATTTCATTGTCCGAGAGCTCAATTGCTCACTCTAACGCCTTATTGGGCGCCTTGCTGTACACAAGCACTTCGCCTGGGTCCGTTGCCACCTGCACATCTCTCATGACCTGGGCGATCAGGAATTGGAATTGGCATTTTGACTGGAGCCCTAGCGGTCTTTCAAGCTGAAGTCATAGAAAGATCGTGGTGGGTATGTCGGATCCGGGTATTTTGGAGGAGGCAGTACCATAGTGCCTCCTCGATGCCCGATTGTGGACGAGACTAGAGAAGTAAACGACTTAGCTTATGGAGCGGTAGCTCATCTGTAGTTGAAGAAGCGATATTCGATTAAGACGGAGATTCTGTATATTGTAGCGTCCGTTGGATAAATTTAAATGCAGTTCGTGAAGAAAAGCGAGTAGATTGGGCTCCAGATGAACCAAGAAATGCATCACTTGATAAGGGCTTCGGGATTTCTATGGGTGCAGAAAACACAATACCGGTAATTTGCGACGTTAATTCTTCACAAAGGATACAAGCAACGTGTTCTCGTACCCAGCCTACAGAGACCGGTTGCCAAGCCGAATATTTCTTGCAACCTACGGCCGCGTGGGCCGAAAATAATAGTCTGGGCACGAGAACACAAGCAACGGAATTTGGTTCTTTTCTCGTTCGGAACGCGATACATCCCCCACAGAATATATGATGACAAGGTTGGAGACTGTTAAAGTTCAGAGCGTAAGAATTTCTGTAGTATATATAGATCAGTATATGCAATTTTATCAGAATGGATTCAAAACTTACATGGAATCGCAGAATCTCCTCTCACAAACAATACATCCAACGAATGTGCAATCCGCACGCATGCGTATTCCCAACTTTATTGTTCCACTGTTATCAACTTTCCCAACGGTTTAAATCGCAGGAAACTCAGTCTCTGCTCCGCTATCGATTTCCTCCCCGTCAAGTGGGTAGAATGACAGGGGAGATTTGCTTTCGTGTATTCGCTGAACGAGATTGGACAAAGCGGCGCCGCGAAACTCGTTACTCCCTCATACGCGAAACTGTTCAGGATCTGAATGTTGATCAGCTTTGCCGAATCCCAGTTCCAATCTACCAGCTCGAGGTAATCTTTCTCCACCCCCTGGTCGGTAAATCCGCCCGCTGCAAGAGCCATATCCCAGCGTACTTTATCTGGACCATCCGGTGCTCCGCGTGGCGGGAATAGATACTCGGTTCTAGAAGTGCTTATGGTGATATCCCATGAACGACTCGAGAGCGCAATGCGACATAATATCCAAGCATATCACGGTCAAAACCGTGCAGCTGTGCCGGCGGGCTATACATGATTTCTACTTCATGCGCACGGCAATTGGCTCTTTTGGAAACCTCACTTCTTATATACTCCAGAACGGAAAAGACATCATCAAACAAATAAAAATAAAATGAAAATAATCAATGGAACCTCCAGCGAAAAGTTCCTAGTTGGTATATTGGCGCTGCTGTTTTCCTCAATATTAATGCTCATAGGGTACACGGGAGACACAACAAGGGAGCCAGTTGGCAAAGAGTCAACGGCTATAAAGAGGTTAGAAATATAAGTTGGCCTGGGGAATGTGGGGTTCGGAAATTTTCCTCGTACATCTGATACATTCTGAAGTTCTTTCTCCCAGTCGCACATGGATCCAGGTTGGATTCCGTCCACTGGCACCCTGACCATGAGAAGGCACTGGCCCGTCACCAACCCCAGCTCTCGCTGTTTTTACTATATCCAAACAAGCCCTTCCAAGCCTGTTCTCCCCACAATCATCTCCAAAAACTCGGAACAACACTTTCATTATTCATCCGGGGTGCGAAATCAACTGTATACCTCCTACGTCATTTCCAGTTATTTGACTCTCCACCGAATATCCTGTGCCTAATTGCATTGCCAAAAATTGCTTGACAGTTACATTTGCTACGAATCCGTCCAATCGACGTTGTCGAGACGCAACAAGATAATCTTGAGCTTTGGTGTCCTTGGTTTGCAGTTTGGAGTCAACGCCGGAGAGGGCATTCATGCGACCTGCATACACCTTGACTGCAAAGAGGCTGTCTCTCTCGGTCCTGGGCCTGAAAACCGACGAGGACTGTAAGCTGGATCGCAGTGCTCAAATGAAATGAATATCGCCTCGCTTTGTAGCATCGGCAACAACAAACCTCCCTTCCATTCCAAATCTGGCGATAGCGTTTGTCGATATTTAATTACAGGTAGTAAGGGGAAGGCAGGGAAATCCACAGGAAGCTGATGCAATTTGCCATCCTCAGGTACACTTACTGTGCGTTTGAACGAAACCTTTACTTGAGCTTCGTACATGTCGTCCACTGGTCGGCAGCTCTGGTAACCGTGACGCCATACTTAGAAGCTTGCAGGAGCCTGAGGGTGCGGTTGAAGAATGTAAAATTTAATGGCTCATCGCTGTGGATTGCCAATCCGGAAGAAAGTTCATAACAGGGAGCGTCGGAGGTGATCCTAACCAACATTGGACTCAAAAAAAGGGTTGTTATAGGCCCAACATAGGCGTCTTTATCTTCAACCCGGAAACCGGTCACTCCCGAATGCCCTGTTTTTTTTTTTTATTTTTTATTTTTTTAATATATCAATACTCGTGGTGGGCGAGTGCGCTTGCCGGGTTACACTTACCTCGGGAATGCAGTTTTTGAAGAATATCCTATGCTCTGGCATTTGCACGGGTGAAAATTTGTTCTGTAGCTGGATGCGGCGAATTCTCTATTTCACATCTCTAACAGTTTCGGCAGCAGCCTTCGAAGTTGACACCCGAGTAGCGGGTAGTAGCTCTCTCCACTTATCTCCAATTTGCTGCTTTTCGGATTGAAACTTCGCCAATAACTCTTCATCCGCCTTTGCATCCTTAGCATCAGCCTCAAACGAGGCATGCCCATTCTTGAAAGCTTTTAAAGGTTCTCACCGCAACTGGAGAACCCACGCAGGCCTCTGTAGGTTAGATACCACGACATTAATTCCAGTCCTTTGCATCGGATGGTGACGGTTGAATCACTCGCAAGTTTGATATACCTAGTAGTCTAGTTAATGCCATATATTTCTTCCCCCTTTTAGGTTTATAAGTAACATGAGAAAGTAACATGAGAAAGTCATATTACCCTGGTCAATTTTCTCCTCAGATACCTATTTGTCTGAGGATACAAGGTGATACTTTTACGCCTCATTGCGAATGAGTCGATTCTCTTCTTATTATAGGCAGCAGTAAGTACACAAAAATAGAGTGCTGCAATTATGAAACATTACTCTAAAGACAGATATGTGCAGTTACCCCCGCGCAATCATTTACTCTAAAGGCCGTTGATTGGTATGATACTCTGCTACTGTGACACGTTAATTGATAGATTTTGTGATACCGATCAGTTGGTTAGGCCTCCAGCAGCCTTAGCTTGGTCAACTGAGGCTCCCTGTCGCTGAATGCAGAATCCTCCAGGGATCCGTGAGTCTTATTTGAGTTGCTGGGCTCACACCGATGTGAGCATATCGTCGAATTGGCAGCGGGGATTTGCAGACGATCAGCATAAGGCTCAATATGCATACACGTGTGTTGACTGATTACATCTATGGCTGAAGAGAGCCCAGGGATCATTTGTCCTTGTGCCATCGAACGATGGCCAGATATCAAATTTTTTTGTTAGAGAATGAAGTACTATAAATACCCTAACTCCATCCCCACTTACAAACGTCACGTTTGATATACTAATTGATTCCGGCCGAGATATTGAATTCGAAGCGCTGTGCTCAAGTAGTCGTGAACGCCCTCAAGCATCTCGCACGAAACTCATCCCACTTACGGCCACTTTTTTTTTTTTACGCCAAAGGACAAAGGTATGGGTGGATCTCATAGCGGGGGGGTAAGTTTGCTCCTCATTCTGATGTTGTGCGATTATTGGAGCATTTCTAACGTGATCGCTCACCACCTACTTACGAAAAGCAGGTCGATAACGGCTTTGCTCTCTTTGTTGCAGCACAGCAGCAAGAAGCAGAGAGACAAAGAAGGGAGAATGAACTCAGAGAGAGGGAAGCAGCCCTACAGCGCGAAAGAGCAGAAAATGAACGCATACAGAGAGAGATGCGAGAACAAGCCGAAC